AGGAGGGGGTGAAGGATCGATAAGACACTAACCTCAAGTCTCGCTGTTTAAATCTGTAGCTCCGTGTGTTTACAGCWMCAVAACACAAGTCCAGTTGCTTCATCTTTTTACTTTTCATTTTCCACCTAGATAGTATGATAATAACGACGTCCAGCCTGGGTCGCTGAGAGTATCGATCCTAAAGTTAGCTACTCGGTCGATACTTTATTTCCAGCTCGTAGTTTCGTAAAAAAAAAAAAAAAACTTCACTGGAGTATCCCGGTCAGAGGCAGGTTCAGATATAAACACTGAACTAAAGAAGCAGGTCAGATAATTATTTAATCGGCTCTGATTAAACAACAACTTCCGATTNGATGTGCAAAATGTAGCATCCATGCTAGCTCTGTAAACAAACAAGCCGGCTGATGAGACGTCACGTCTTTTACTGCGCATGCAGGTCACATCACTGCTGTGTAGCGTTCACACAGAGGTCTGATGCAGGTCACATTTAAAATGTAATGTGAACGTTCACACAAAAAGATCGGATTTTTTCAAAATAATCGGAACTGAGCATTAAGACCTGCAGTGTGAACGTAGCCTTAGTGTTTGCGTCATTACCTCCTGTGACAGGTAAGGCAGCACCTGAGCACAGATCCCATTCAGCCTCTTCACTATTTCAGCCTGGAATACAGAAACGAGGTCAGACAAGCAAAAATCACCAGAACTGCACTTTTAGAAGGATCTTATGTTATTTACCTGTTTGTGCATTTCAATGTTCAGACCGTAGGACATTTCATAATACTGTAATACAAACAAAAACAACAAAACATGATCAAGTTACAACTCTAAATATAGAATTATTCAGGGATATTTTTATAAATGCATTTTACACTTTAAAAGACTGACTGACAAATTTACTTTTTCCCCTCAGCTTTTCATCACATAAACTGTTGTTGATACAGAGCCAATTGGTTCAGGTTGACCAAAAGCCTGAAAATCTCCCAGCAGTCAATGCTCCACTCACCATGATGTAATGACGCTGCATCTCTGACTTTTCAGAGGCCAGTTTATCACACTCCAACTTCAAACTAGAGATAAGACACAAACATTTAAAATAAAATAACTGTTCTCAGTCAAAACAAATGTGAATTTCTTAAAAATTAAACTAAACAAGTGGATTCTGTTCTGTAGTTAAAGACAACTCACTTCCCATCCCAAGAAGCTTTCTCAAATCCCCAAACCTTTTTTTTTTTTTACCATTTACTGAGAATCTACACCAGCGTCCTGCAATAAGGATGTTGATTTTCTACACATGGAACAAAAATTCCACATTTGACATTTTTGCTACGCAACTGTATAAAAAAGGTGGTAATTTAAAATTGTTCGGCAACAACACGTCTTGACAAAGTTGGGACAGAGGCGACAAAATACTGTAAAGTAAGTGGTACAAATAGGAAACATCATGAGGAGCATTTTGCAACTAATTATGTTAATTGGCAACATGTTTAAAAGGAGTATTTAGAGGTGCAGATGAAAGGTGGGCGGCTCATCGTGCCATTCACAAATACAGGTTAAAGCTCTATCGTGTAAAGAAGATGCCCGAAGGTAGAAACTTGTGCTGTGGTTTGATGAATCAAGATACAAAATTCCCATTAAGAAACAGAGACACCACATCTTTGTACTAAAGACCGAGACCATCCAGCCTGTTAACAGTTCAAAATGCTTATTCCACTGTTAATAAAATATAGGTTTATGACATTTGCAAATATCTTGTTTTATTTTATTTTCATTTTACACCTTACTTTTCCAGAAGTGAGGCTACATTTGAAGGCATCACTTTGAAATGAATGAATAACCAACAAATGGCATTCAATTTCTATCCCCCTTTCCTTGCACCATTTGCCTGACCAGATCAATTATAACTATGAACTAAATAAATACCCATCAGGTGTTAAACTAAATGACTCCCACTGATGGAGTGGGACCTGTTGGCTGTGTACCTGTGGTACTGTGCTTGGAGGAACTGGAACTCATCCTTGATCCGATCACAAGAGTCAGACGTGGTGAACTTCAGAGCTTGACTGGACTGAGATGACGCCTTCGGGGAAAAAAAGTGACAACACTTTGCATCAGACCCACAAAAAACATTTGCTTTTTACAAAACTCAGGGGTTTGGATCATGTCCCCCTTGCTTGTTTTTTTTTTATTCTAAAACTAAGTGAGTGAGGAGATTAGAAGGTTGCGTGTTCATATCACGTCGGGGTCACCAAAACTGTAAGAAAAATACGTATTCTATAAACTGAAGTCGATATTAAAACCACCATTGTTCAATAAAATGATTTGTAGAAGGAATCAAACCAAACAACACCAGAATTCTGGAACTGAGTGAGGTTTATTGTCACCGGAGCTGACAGGAAACCACACTGGCGACAAACCAGGAAGTTCATCAATTTATACAGGGTCTTCAATGCCTGCGTTCGCCCCCTACTGGCCTACGGCTGAATCACAGGCATTCAGACAAAATTCTCATCTAATGTCCTCACGTTTGATTTTGTGTTGTTACAATTCGGACATGTAACTAATCTAACATCAGTACAAACCTCTAATAACTATAAATTTCTTCAGAGGGATGACACATCTCTTACAAAGCTGGTTGTACACACACACACACACACACACACACACACACACACAC